GCTTTTGCTTCACTACAAAATGGCCAAAGTTATACATAAACTATTTCTGCTTCTCCACTTTATTATGAGCAGCCCCTTAATAAAACATCTTTTTGTAATGTCTGCGTAAGAACGCTTACAGGAATTCTGGATGACTGTTCAAAGTCTGGGGGTTTCTACAATGCTGGCTGACTAACCAATAAGAAAAGTTAAGTGGGGTGCTTTATCACACTCTCCCTAATTTGAGTACTTAATGTGATACAGTGCAACAGAGTTTATTCAGATTTTGGCAATTTATCGTCCTTAGGATTTGGCTAGACATAGGGCTAGTAGGGATTTTGGACAGTTAGGTCCCTGGATCCTATGAATGACCATTAAAAGGATGGTTCCCTAAATATTTCATCCTCTACTCAGCTGTATTCACTGAGTGGGTAAGGCAAAGGAAGTTATCAGGCAGCTAGTTTACCTTTTCTAGGGCTAGATGATGTTGTAAGATAGAGTAGGAAAAATTCATGGCATCACTATCCTGTGGTCCATTTACCCTCCTTCTAGAGGAATATATTCCTGTGATACACTCTGTCACTTAGTGTGCCCAATTGTTCCTTAGATTGTGATGGTGGTTTTGCCACAGTCTCTGCACATTGCCCAGCATAAAACTAGTCCACTCCTAATGGTCCCTTCTGCATGCCTGCATGGCAAGAAGGGTGATTCTGCATCTGGTGTAGCTAAAACTAGAAATGTAAGTGGGTGGAGTTGAGCTGAATAATCCAGTCACATTCTTAACAAAAATCAGAAAACCCTGCACTGACCTCAGTGCCAGAGGCCATCTCTCTGTCATTGCCATCAGAACTTTACCTTGTATCAAGTGCATCTACTTCTGTGATGTTCTGATTTCCATCTGTTAAAGAGATCAAAAAGTGATTTAGGCTCTAAATGTTCATTAAAAAGAAACAATTTGAACTTGTGCATCCAGCCTTAAAGTTTAGCTGTTAATGTGAACCAAAAGCTCATTCACACATCAGGCAAGTAGGCATGCAGTTAAACAGCTTCATTAGCGTTTGTCTGCACCCACAGCTTTTGGAGGCTGTTCTTAAAAGTTCCTACTCCAACAGTCTGAATTTTAGGTGGTCAAGACATGCATATTTTATATCTGTGTATTTGTATCTATATAGATATTTTCAGAGATCATGATTTTATATAACTAACTATCTGGCTGTATTTATTTAAACAGACTCTAACTCAATAGTTATGATTTTACATAATCTAAAAATACACTGGTGTTTCTTTTATTTCAGTAATGATGCTAATGCAAAGCTGAGCATTCTCTTTGAGGTTGGATGAAGCATATGAGTCATAGCAGATGATAGTGTAATAGTGCGTATAGTTCATGACAACTGAGAAGATGCAAGATTTATACCTTTTTCTTCAGCTAACCTATACAGACATAAGTGTCTCCAGTAACAGAATGCACATAAAGCTAACATTGTGGGAACACCAGGTAACATGCACATTTTGGGAGCGTGCAGAACTAAAGACATGCAGATGGTTAGGCCAACATACTTAAATCCTTTCACTTAAACATCTCAATAGGCTATAAAATCACAGGTCCTACTACTACTGGTGGAGACTAATTACCACATTATGAAAACTATATACTATACTGTACCTGTGGTGGTTAAAGTAGGTCTGCTGTCCAACTGGATGTGGCCTGCAATTATAAGAGAAGACGGGTCATGTATACGTATATTTTACAAACTACTTTGTATATACGATACTGCCTTTTGACATCCGTTTTTCACATCTGATTAAAGACTTCTGCAAAACAAACTAACACAGCTATGTATTGATAGAGGAGAAAAGTTCATAAAGACATTAGAAGTAACTTGTAGAAATCTAGACTTGGCTTTAGAAGCTTCTACGTTGAACACCATTGCACAGGAGAGTAGGGGGGTGGCTCAAAGGAAGTCACATGCTTTTAAGTGTTACTATTGACATGTAAACTTCCCACTGGCATATACTGATCATGCTTTCAGGTGTTGAGTCTTACAATTATCACTAGTAACCTGAACGCACAAAAAAAAGCACTATTTCAGTTTGCTTGAAACATAACATGTAGGTCAGTCTAATGATAGAAGTGCTGAAAAATGAGTGTAGAGAGAACACAGCAACACCACCTGTGCCCATGACTCCGTTGGTAGTAGGAAGCCAGATATTTTTAAGAGTGCATCTGTGTATAAATTTACACTGTATTTTTGCTTGTGTACCTGAGATCTGGCTGATGCTTTTGCCTCAGCTTAAAGGGAAAGGGGCGTAATCCACACCTCCAAAAAACAACAGACCATAAAAATGTTAAGAGTCATCAAACTTCTAGACAGAAAATGCTGTCATGTGGACACACAAAGAACAGAATTCCTGGGCCAAAGGAAACTTGGGAAAGATGGTTCTCCTGTTCTTTTAATCCTGTTTAGTCAGTTCCCAGCCTTTAGTTTTTCATTGCCACTGTCATATTGCAGCTTTGTTCAAGTAAACACTACTTAAAATTATGATGATGTATGAAAAGCTTTCTGCTTGTCTTACACAGGCTTGTTTTAAAAACTGATTGCTCTCAGTGGGATTACTTACTTAAGTCTCGTAAAGATGGTTTCAAAGGAATCAAAAATAAGGTATGCACTGGATTACACTGGGATCTGATAGCATCTGTCCCTGGGTACGTTTTAATCTCAATAGGTCTACCATTTGGGCCAAGGGACATGGCATTTAGAAAATACCAGTAACCAAATGGCACAAAAACCCGTGTATGTAAGCCTAACAGCACCTTCAGGAACTAAACCCACACGGTTTTGCTGCTCCTCCCTTCTCTTGTCCTCCTGTTACCCATCACCGTTCTTCCTGGGCACCTGATCCCCGGCTAGCAACGGCGTTTCCCCCGCTTTTTACGGTGCCAGCCGTTTCTCTTCCGTGTTGACAAAGCAAGCCCGTTTCCCCGCTCTCTCCCCGGCGGCGGGGTCTGGGCGGTCGGGCTCCCCGGCATCACCCCCCCCCCTTTCATTTCCCGCTCCTGTGGCGGGGTGGGGGGACTTTCCCCTCAGGGGGGTGCGCTGGCTTTTACGCTCCAGCCTACTTCCGCGATGGCTGCCTCCGCCGCCATCCCGTCCTTCTCCCCGCCTGCCACCTTTCCCCGCTCCCCTTTCTTCTCTGAGAGGAAGCAAAGACCACGCTCCCCGCGAACGTCGGCAGCCGCCTCCGGGCAGCGCTGACCCCGGCACGGCCGCCGCTCTGTCGCTGCGGGTCAGCCGAGGAGGGGGGGAGGCCCCTCTCCCCTCAAGCCCTCGCAAAGACATCCGTCCGCCTCCCGCTCTTCCTCCGCGGGGGGCGAGCGGCACCGTGTCTGCCCCCGTCGCTGGGGCACGGGGGCGGCGCCCAGACCGTTAACGGCCCCGCACGTTAACCGTTAACGGGACGGGACGCGCGAGGCGGGGGCGGCGCCGTCGGCTGCGGCAGGCGCCGAAAAACCGTCGTGTCCCGTCCGTCCCCCCGCGGGCGGCCGCCATTACGCGCTGCCCCCCTGGGTCCCCCCTCCCCGCCCCCCACCTACCTAC